GGCCCGCCGCGCAGCCTGCTGCAAAGCCGCGGCCGCGGCCCGAGCCAGCGGCGAGCGCACAACCTACCCCGCCCGGCGCCTCCACCCGGGAGGGGAAGGCGAGGCAAGGAGGGAGTGACAACGGCAGCGGGCCAATGGGAAGCCCGGAGGGCTGAGGGGGCGTCGCGCGGCCACGTTTTTAGGGTTGGTTGCACTGTGCGCTCCCCCAGGAGCGGTCTGGAGGGCTCGGCTGCTGCGTGTTAGCATTGCGGAGAGCGGGCTGCCGAGCGGAGGTGCGGGTTAGCGGGTGCGTGCGACGCCGGCCCAGCAAGGAGCTTTCGGGCTCCCCCTACCCACGCATTTATTTAGCTGGGAGTGGTCGCAATAGGGATGTTTGTGCTCCTTGCTTTTTTTTTTTTTTTTTACTTTAACTTTGCACGTTTTCTTATGTAAGACGCCAGCTCTCCAGGGTGCTTGACCCGAAACACAAACCTGTATTTGTGTTTCCTGGCTCGAAGCCGAGGGGATGACCCTCTGTCCCCTTCCACTGCCCCTACTTTAAGTAATTATCTCATGAGGTTCAGCTTGACGCACAGAAATTGGAAAGTATTTCCTATCTAAATACAATAATGTGTGTGAGTTCTTGCCAACTGTGAAGCCACCTTTAAGCAAGAATGGGCATTAGTGGCAGGCTGATAGATAAAGGAGGGAAGGAATACAGTCTTTTTCTCATAAATCTCAGCCAAACTGCTGCGTAATGCAGAGAAAGGCAGGGGGCACAAATGATCAGGGTCACCAAAATATGTCGCAGAGTATAGCTAACAGCCCATGCGAGTGCCTCCTCTACGCTCGCTGTGCATACTTGTGAAACGAGACAACACACCCAAAATGGAGTCACTTATGCTAACCCTCGGTCAACAAATGTAGACTCCCCTGTAGTCTCAGCTCTCCCAGAAATAGAATCCGAAACCATTCAAGGAAGAATCACCTGGTCAGCAGTCATGATGTCATCGGCTGATAGCCTCTGCCATCCCCTAAATGAAAGTGGTCTTGGCCCAAGTCACTCTTTGCCAGTATAACTTCTTTGCCCTTGCTCCCTTTGAAAGAGTCCTATAGCAGGTCAAGGGACAGTGGCCAGTTAAAGGACAGATCATTGCCTGTGGTTCTCACCCATATGCATGACGGAAGACCATGTGGAAGACCAGGTTCAGAGGCCAGGATCCAACTCACCAGCGCTAGAGGTGCTCACAGGTGGGACCGGCTGCGATCATAACTCAGCAGCCCATGACCACAGTATGAGAGTTGGGTTGGACTGAACCAGACACTGGACAGCGACGGAGGCAGCAGCACCAGGAAGGAGGTACAGGTCGGTCAGGAGCCTGCGCCAGCAGCAAACAGCTCTTTGCAACACCAGGCCCTTGGTGCTCAGGCAATGTGGGAGGCAGGCCAGAGGCGGGTGTGGCCAACCTGGCCTTTGTGAAGCTCTACTACTCTGCAACCTTCTGGACTTCTCTTCTCCCTTTGGAGGTCAGCTGCTGGGCCTTCTTTGGGGGTCTTTGCAAGAGTCTGAGAGTCCCAAGCTGGCTGCTGCCCTGGACCTCTTTCAGGGCCTCTCCCCCACCACACCCCTGCTTCCCACCTCCCCACAAGTCTGATTGGACCATTGCATCAGCCAGCTCATTGCTCAAACCTGACCCTGGTGGTGCATTCTACAATCCAGGCACCAAATTCACAGGCTTCTGTACTGCCTGGAGCTGGCAGAGCCACAGTGCTGGAGCGGGCCCCTTGGGAGACGGTGTTGCTCCAGCTCTGACCAGGGCATCCTGCCTGGGGCTGGGTGGTAGGGAAACCGCTGTCCTCCACCATCACTGCTCGCCTCTGCCTGCAGCCTGAGTAAAATGCCCACCACCTGCTTCGGCTTGCACTGCCCACAGTTTCTGAGGTGGGTGCCGAGGAGGAGCTGCCCACAGGCGGCGGCATGCACCAGGCAGCTGGGGAGAGCTCGCCACAGCTTCTGGCTCAGGCAGCAATGAGAAGGAGCCGGTCACGCTGCACAGCCTGTTCTGTGGGGCTGGGGTTTCGCCTTCCCAAAATGTTCATTTTGTTTGGAGCTCCTTTCTGCCTCTTAATGGGATGCTGCCCAACTTGTGAATGATTGAGTAAAGCCAATAAGAGTTTTGACTTTCTCTCAGTAGCACTTGGTTTTCTAAAAGCACAGTGGTGTTGGCCCACTCAGCAGTGCAGAATGGGTGGTTTGGAGACCAGAAGCAGCGCCTGGAAGCTGGATAGAAGTGCAGGTTTAGGGCCCTCCCTGGTGGCACAACGGGTTAAAGCACAGCACTATGAAGCTGTCTGCAACCACTGCGGCCTGATTTCGATCCCCAGCCAGGGAGCTGACCCACATGACGCAGCAGACCTCTCCTGACCTGCCCACTGTTCCTCAGCAATGTATTTCAGTTCATCTGCTTGTTCTGCTCCCCACTCTGTCTCTGGTGAGTCCTCTTGCCCCCCCACACCTCTGGCCTGTACCCTAGTTCTTGTGTGCATGGATAAATAAATCTTTAAAAAAGAAAAC